CCCTTGGGAAGCTTGGGCTGGTGTAGCCGCTGCTTCATGCATTGGCTGGTCATTGCCTCCCACACAGAGGGGTGCAAGAACAGATTGGATCCATTGTACTCTCTGCTGCTCTGCAGCTTGGGGACCTTGCCCTACTGAAACTGCACTGCCATAAAGGCAACTAGTATGAAGCACGGCAGGAGGGAAGGGGGAATTTTTTAATCCAAGTAAATGAACAGGTCTTGCAATATAGAGGAGAAGCTCAAAGTGAGAGTCTATCTGGGTAAGAGAGAGATCAGGTGGCAAAATTAGGGGCCCTTCACTGAGAATGCCCAGCTGCGAGCTCAATAAATACAAAGGGACAAACCCACGGACTACCAGTGACTGGGGCACAGTACAAATTGTGGGATGCAGAGTTGTGTCTCATACAACTAGGGCCTAAGACACACAGGGTTTTATATGTGAAGTTAAGCACCTTCAATGGCCCCTGGACATGTTCAGGCTTTAGATGAGTACCCACAGGAGCTAAAGTAACTTACCCAAAGACAAACAGTAAGTTGAGTCAGAACTGGGAATGGGACTCAGGAGTCCCTCCACTAAGTCCCCGCTCTAACCAGTAAACTCTACAGCCTCACATGTTCTTAGGCAGACTTACCAACAACCTGTCCTCCCCAAGGCTTAAGAGTCTTGGTTGATCACTGTCTAAATCAACGCCAAATATTATATTTCGAATTGCTTTATAATGCGAGTGAACCCCTGCGAGATGTTCCCAGGTTCTCTCTCCATTTTTCAGAATTCTTCTGTAAACAGTCACTGAATATTTTTCATCCTAAAAATAATAATACAAATATTCTATTTTATCTTCAGCCTGCATTTCTATTGTGTTCCCCTAGCTCTCAGGGGAATTCCTAGCTCATTACTCTGGCCTACATGCATTTCTAGCTATGTGCTGAATAAGCCACAAGGAAAATGAGGTAAATAGAATGACAACAACAACATCATGCCTGATTTGGGGAAAAGGATCAGAACAGAACCAAACAAACATTAAAATAATAATGAACAACTCTTCAGCCCTGCTTGAAAGGAAGCCACAGACCAACCTCAGGGGTATACTAGAGTGTGCTTCTTCTCTGGAAAGGGAATGTAAAAATGGCATCATGAAACCTCATATTGATTGTCTCTGAGTCTAGAGAAAATGTGATCAGGTTACAAACAAAAAGATATTTTTCTTTTACTCTCAACTCCCATGGGACATGAGAGTCAATCAATAGTTAAGATTCTACACTCCAAATGCAACCACATTGCCTTCAAATGCAGCCTGTTACCTCTGTGCACCAAAATATGAAGATGAGTTCACAATTCTTTTGATGATATTGTAGTGGGGCAGCTGCCTTACTCTGGTATAGAAGGGCTTAAAACAATCCAGAGAGGCTGTGCAGAGACCCAGGTGGCCAGGAAAGGGTTTAATCAGAGATAATCAAGTGGACGCTTGAAAACAGCCAAAGAGAGCTTGGGCAGTATAAGAAAGGCTGTAGAGAACAGATGAGTTGAGTCTCCCCCTGGAGGGCAAGACAGAAGGACTAGCTGCTTAAAACAGTGCTGGGCAGGGTGAGGGAAGCAAACAGTATGGGCCAGGGCTGACTAGGGCCCCGATACAAAGGAGCAGGTCATCGGGAACTGGTCCAAGGAAATGGATAGATGGGGTTGCAGGAGATGCAGGGTGTGGCTGCCACGTCAAGGGTTCCTTAGTAAGGACCTGGAGTAATGGAGAGGCCTGAGTTTGTCCCCTCCCCCTTGCACCATACTTGCCTCGCAGGAGCATGGCTGAACCTGACTGCAGTTTGCCCGAGTGAAGGGCTGTACTCAGCTGCAGTCGGCTATTGAGGCAGGTGCAAGTACTGAGAACTGCTGGTTCCCCCCAGAATGGGGAAGAATGAAGTTGGGGCACAGCCAGACAGCCATATCCTACAGAGGATGCCGTGGTCTGGGAGCGATGTGGGTCCAAAGAAGGTGGAGACCACAGAGTGATGATAGACAAGATACCAAAGAGTCTGAACGGAAACTGAACTGAGCTCATTCCAGAATGACCAGAAGGAGGCACCATGATGGTGAGTCCCCCATAGCAATTGGTGGAGAATGCAGACACCACCACTAGTCTGCAAGCTGGATCACACAGGCCCTCCAATAATAGTCCATTTTTATATCTCCATCCTCAGTATTTCTAGTCTCCCAAATTGGCATGGCTTCCCTTAGTCCTCACTCTTCCCCTTACCAAGGGAGGACCAGATGTCCTTTTGCTCCACCACACGTAAACGGGCTGACTCACCACTGTGGTACCTATTGCTGGTTGTCCAGCCAATTAGCTCAGTTGAGTTCCCATGAAACCTCTTCAGATGGTGTCTTGCCTGTTATCTGTTCCGCTGTCTCCACATAGTTTAGGATCTGGGCCCACACTGGTCCTGGACCATGGTATCCTCTTCAGGGCATGTCTTTCTGGCTATGCCCCAACTCTGTTCTCCCCTCTTCTAAGGGAACCAGCAGTCCTCAGTGCTTGCACCTGCTTCAGAGGCCAACTGCAGCTCAGTCTAGCCCCTTACCTCAGGGGCAACCTCCTGTCTGGGTCAGCCATGCTCCTCAGAGGCAAGTTCAGGGCAAGAGAGGAGAGGAGAAGAGAGACTTGGATCTACATATGCTGTAACCCCTTCTATCCATTTCCCTGGGCCACTTCCCTGTAAAGCCCCAGTACCTTTGTATCAAGGGCCCAACCAGCTGGGAGCTCCCTCTTGCTACCCTGACCCTGTTCTAAGCAGCTAGTTTTTCTCTCTTGCCCTCCAGGGAGAGGCTCAGCTCCTCTGTACCTTGCAGCCCTTTATTAAGCTAGCTCTGATTGCCTGCTTTCAGGCCTGAAGTTGATTAGCTCTCATTAAGCCTTTTCTTGGTTGGCCGGGGCCCTATGCAGGGGTTGGCACTATTTTAACCCCTTTCAAACCAGAGTAGAGCAGCTGCTCCACTACAGACACATAAGCCACCAGAATCCATATCACTCTGTCACTAGAATCAGCATGTGGGGCTCTAGGCACAGGCAGGCAGTAAGTACACTAAGGAGCACAGTGCCGTTTTTACAAAGTCACTCTTCAAAGTAGAACAACTTTAATAGAGGGAGAGCATTCTAGAGTCATAGGCCCTCAGTGGAGAGGATTCTGCCTGGTCTCTTTTCAGGATGACATCTTGGCAAAGCCTGTAAGTTCCAGACCCACGAGAAGAATATACATATCTTGAAAGAGAAACTTACAGCAGTTGCAAAATACTGGGAATCATGAGAGAAGCTTATATGAGTTACTGGGCCTCTTGAATACTTGAACTCTTTACAATCATCTTCCAATGAAATAGAATCAAGGATGTAAACGCTTCCATCACTAAAACCAGCCACCAGAAAAGTACCTATAATACACACCAGAGAAGAATTATTCTACAGATCACTCATCTCAGGAAACCTGATGCTTGATGTTCAGTAAGATCTTAAGATAAAAATACCTTTAGGGTCATAGGCGAGGCACTGGATACTGGCCTCCATAAAGATTCGGCTATAGAGGTACTTTGTCTGCATATAGTCCCACACCTTTAGCAGCCCACAATGACTTCCTATGGCAATGAGAGGCTGGCTAGGGTGGCAAGCAATGGCATTAACAGCTTCTTTGGCCTCCTCCATTAATTTGTCCAGTTTTGACCCCTTTGCTGTAAAGTGAAGCACTGTTGCATCCCGCGTTGAGAGAATAAAATTCCTGTTTATCATGAAGAAACAGACAATTTGATGAATCAGGCAGATGGACTCTTTTCCCTCCCAACTGAACAGCAGACTAGTGAATGACTGCTCTCCAAAACAACGGAACGAATGACTGCACATCCGTTCATTTAGCCATGTCTTTAAAGCAGTCAGATTTCAGTCACTACACGTATATAAGCAAAGATATAAAAACTAAAGAACCGACCGTGCATGTATATTACTGAACTCTTACCGGGAAATGGTTATCAGCCTTTCTGCAATTTGAGAGATTGGCCCCAATGAAAGTGTCAAATCCTGAAGTCCTCTCAGAGCTCAGTTCTGCCACCTTTTACAGTACTGCACACGAATCACTCACTGATAAAAACAGGGACTCTTTGTGGAGTCGGGAACTATTTAGCAAGCTAAGACCATAAATGGGTTTTGAAAAACAGCTGACATTAGGAACCCTGGTTTGAAGGCCTCAGTCTTTTGCTTAGTTAAACTACACCTCCTCTCTCCAGCATTTGTAAGCCTGCTCTGACTACCTCTGTGGGGACGAAGGGCCTCTCAGTCATTTGTCCTGAGGGGAAGCCTGGTTTGCCAGTGCTGGTAGGGAGGGTAGAGATGTTAACTGGTAACCAGTTACCTAGTAAGCATCACTCTTTATGGGCGATGCTCACCGGGTAATGGTTAACTGGTACCTGCCAGACCTCTGCACAGGGGTGCTGCCCCCCAGCCAGCA